AAAAAAAAAAAATATAATTCATTTATTTTAGGTGAGATGAATAATTTTAATTTGTTACAGTCGGCACATTAACTCTTTACTGAAGCCAGCTAAGAAAACAACAAAAAACAACCAGGTTTTATATCAACAGCGAGTAAGTTATAAATGATCAGCAAAAGCGTTATTATTTTTTACGTGAGCTTTTATACTAATTGAGAATTTCTTCGAAACAAAGAACTATTTCTAATTAACTTTACATTTAGTGATTTAGCGATTGTTACTTTTAATTAAAACGAATTAGTATAATAATTTCTAAGTGCGCGCAGCAATGGCCAGAAGGACACAAGTGCACTCTGTCGGTATAAGCGATAATACCGAAGAGCTCGAAAGTCCGGAAACTATAGAATCCGCTTCGCTAGCTATACAAGATGTCGCTTCAAAAGCCGCACAAAAAGGTCGGTTACCTACATGCACATGTACATAGATATCAATTGTTTTAGCTTATAGAAATATATTTTTTATTTCCGTCACAGATTTATGGGAACGCCCTGCCTCCACAACGCCACCTAATTTGCCGAACGACGGATCTACTCTATTACGCTTTGAAATCCAACTAGCTCGTATAATGCCTCCTGATGGTGAGGATCTTAATGTGAAACGATATGTGGTCTATGAATTGTCTGTGCGTCAAGACTCTTCCATTATCGATCCACAACCTGCAAGCATACAACGTCGCTATACGGACTTTCGAAATCTCTACAATAGTCTTAAAAAGGAGTTTCCAACTAAGATGTCTTCATTGTATTTTCCCAATAAGGTCCTTGTTGGAAATTTTTCGGCTGATTTAATAGCAGAACGTAGTGCTGCCTTTGAGACATTCCTCAGTCATGTCGTCAGTTGCAGTACATTACGCGACACGCCTGCGTTTTTACACTTTCTTCAAGATCACGAACTAGCCAAGGCATGTCAACTCTTGGACGAGCGTCGCAACGAAATGGCTATTCCATTGCTAGAAAATTGTTTTCGGTTACTAAATAAAATTTTCATGGATCGTTCCCGGGCTGTCCTATTAATTTTGTGTCGTCTTGTTGCTGCCTGCACCATGTCACCGGTGCCGCATCATTCGGCCGAACGCTGGGCAACGTTGGCGCTGAGCCGTTACGATACATTGTGTGACATTGATCTCCTACAATTATATATTCCATTACTACACACATGCACACATCTTTGGTGAGTAGACGAAACATTTCCAGTTCTTCTAAATTGAGTTATTAAAAAATGTATTTTTTAGGTGGCAGCGGGGTTTGGATCAAAAGCCGCTAACTGATCGTCTCGAGGAAATGTCTAAAAAGGGCATTAATATAAAAAATTGTCCTACACTTATCCAGGCCATTCACAAGCTGGATCCGCGCACTGAAACTATATAAATAATATATGCATTCATACATTCATATATAAAATATTGAAAAATAGTGCACATGCATACATATTAGGGTGGTCAAAAAATGCATGTGAAAAAGTAGTCGAAATTTTAATGCCGCCACCCCTAGGATTGTTCTATACCAAAAAAGATATACCCCTATCTTTTTATTTTGAAATCAAAAGAAATTTAGGGAGTATGGGAGAAAAAACCACTCTTCGTAGAAATGGTATAGAATTCTTGCAAATCAATATTTTTCGGACGGAAAACTTTGTTTCTCTTCAGGAGATTCCCAGTAATAATGCTCAATTTTTTCTTTAACCATTTTTTCAGGTAACTATATTTTATAGGTCCGCCAAAACCCCCAGAAAATGTAATGCGGGACCAATAAAAAATCTTTAGAATTAAAAAGTGGTTATTAAACAATTGGATATTAATATTGGAAGTCTTTTGAAGAGAACCAGAGTTTTCCGATCGAAAAATATTGATTTTCAAGAATTCTATACCATTTCTACAAAAAGTAGTTTTCCCCCATATAAAATCCATGGAAAACTTTGAGCGCTTTGAGCACTCCCTAAATATTTTTTGATTTTCGGGGAGTGGCGGCATTAAAATTCCGACTTTATTGGTTTTGGACCACTCTAATACATATGTAGAAAATAGCGCATAGTGTTCGCATACATATTTTTTATATTATATAGCATCTAAGGAAAAAAAGTGCACTTGTTTATAAACTAATATGTATGCAGTGTACATTCATAGTACGAACATGCATACAGTTGCAATTATTTCATCGTCTTGATATTACTTGCAAATGCATTATATACATATATGTATGTATTTATGTATGTTTATGCATATCGCTCATTTACTAAAAGACTGTCACTACCAAGGCCTATTAAACAAGGTGTGTTTGACAACTCAGGTAGGCTCTCCTTTAAGGTACTATTAGGCCAAAAATATAAAAAATCGATTCAAAATTCATACACAATTTTTTCAATTTTTTTGGTTCTTCTGAGAGCAATGCCAAACTCAATCACACTTTGTTGAATACATTTTGGTTACAACCAATCACACCTACCTTGTTAATACACCCTGGTCACAACTCAAGAGCAAGCCTTAAAGGTGTCTCCTGAAAAATCTCGTTTTTTGACTAGTGACAGTTTTTTTGGGTAAACGGGCGATATGCATGCAAGTATGTGCGTATAGTGGTAGATTGAACTACATATCGTTACCGTAATTCACAAAGGCCCTAACCAACCAAATTTTTATTTTACAGGGGAACCAAAAAAACATTATATAAATGTTCCCACGGCAGTCGGGTCTACGTAACCGAAACGACCCAGACTTATATCTGGCCAAGGACTGTCACTTCAGCAACACTCCCCAAAAACTCTTTGGGGAATTTGTATGCGGTTACAACAACAACAACATAAAAGTAATATCAAAAACAGATAGGTTTTTTAAAAAGTGGCATGCAACTCTTGTTTTTGGTACTTGAACTTTAGAATTTGTATTGAAGGTGTCGTTGATTATATCCTACCAAAATCTATGAAAAACGCAGTTTCGAAAAAAGTGTTGGTTATGGGGTTTGTGAACTAAGGTAACGATATTTATATTTAACTCGAAATAATTTCTATTTAAATTGTGTATTGTCAATTGTATTTACGAATTTATGTTATCATTAATTGAACTTGCATGTATCTTAATATTATGAATATTTTATAAGAGGTTGAAAGTATTGCCCGAGAATCTTTATATATGTTTAAATTTTTGTGGACATACATATCGTGTTTTTGGATGTTTTGTAGAAAAAAAAAATCTATTTATTATCAAAATAAAACGACAAATAATGGAAGCCACAAGATGTTTAACTTTTCGTTAACGTCAAAAATAGGGATTTTCAATATCGTCGTAAAAAAGTACATTTCAATTCCAATTTACCTTGAAATCAGGGTTGCCACTGACGAAAAAAATATTTACCCACCAATTAGAAAAAATTTCCAAATCTGGAAAATATCTACCAATAACTTTTTTCAACTTCATTATTAAAAAAGCTTCAATTGGAGTTATTATAAGCTAATACAGTGACTCAAAAGGGTAAACATTTTTTGCAATTTTTATTTGTATAAGAATATTGTTTGCGCTTTAACTAAACCTATAAAAACTAAAGTCTCAAGCTAGTTACATTTGAAACAAGTTATTTAGAGTTCTGAATTTTTAGAACCATTTATGCAGTTTTCTAGCCCATGGAATTTTAGTATAACCAACAATGTGCAGCTCAACATTCCCGTTGGTTAAAAAATATATGTATTTATTTATTTATTTTTGCCGCCGGTCTTTTGTGTTTTTTTTTTCATTTAACAATTGCCATTTATAAAAACTGGCGGTGATTTTTTTAATAATTTTTTTTTTAATCATTGTGTGTAAATACAAACCTGTCCATTTTTTCTTTTTATTTAAATAAACATAAAAGGTTTAGACAATCAAAACCTAAAGATTCCAGTAAAATTTGTTTTGAATGGAGCACGATATGTTCGCCTTCTATCGATATACATACTTACATATTTAATTTAATTTAATTAAGTAATGCCTAAATGTATGTATTTTTCATTTCATTTATTAATCAAATCATTAGCACAATAAGATCAGAAGAAAGATCTTTTATAGCGCAACAAAATATTCATAACATACATATAATTAAAACAGCCAAATTTACTTAAGACTAAATAAAAGTAACATTAGATAAGTAACAAAGAAAGCAGTATTTTTAAGTAAGTTCTCCGATTCCAGGACATACACATAAAATAAGACTTAATTAAACGAGTACATAGAGAGCACTTCTCAAGGACTGAAGTGAAGCTAACGCTAACAGAACATTTTTACAGTTGCTTTTGTTTAAACTACTGTTGGACAGTATCGATACCGAAAGTACTCAGAACTCGATTCTCAAAAGGATCGACAGCACCCGATTTTTAAAAGTATCGATACTGAATACTCCAAAGAACTCGAAAATACTTCGAAAGCACTCAGAACTTAAAAGAACTCGAAAGTACTCAGTACTCAAAAATACTCTGTTCCAATAATCGCTTTGATACATGTACTCAGGATCGATTCAAAGTACTCAGTACTAAGTGTCGAATAGACTTGAGACTTTTATTTACATTTAACGGTATTCAGAAATGATTGCATTCAATTTGCAGTTTCAATAATTTTCAAGTACAATACTTGTATCCAGTACAGTTAGCCATTTGGCGTAATTTGCGAATCCATGCAACAATTAATAAAGAAAAAGTGAGCAGCTGGTTTCTACCTGAGCATGTATGCACAGAACAAAAACCACTGGTTGAACGAAAGAATATAATCCGCTGAGACGTACCTAACTAAGAACCGATTTAGCACGGCGTAAATAGTGACGGACAAACAGAAACTATTCAGAACGAAATGACACTGAAGATGGCACAACGCCGAAACCGGTTTGCATCCAAACCAAATTTGACAAGCGATGACGGAAAATCATTCCACATTACATCACACTCCTACCCTGCCGGAAACACCAACAACGAAAATGAAAATACTCAGTACTCTGCAAAATACCCGATCCTTAAAAGTATCGATACCAGAGAACTCGATCCTCAAAAGTACTCGATACTTCCCAACACTAGTTTAAACTACTGCGAATATGAGATGGGATAGAGTTCCAGAGTTCCGGATAGTATTGACAAAGAATAGCCGTGCAGAGCTGAGATAATTGTAGGTAGGAACAGTCAAGTTCTTTACTCGAGGTGATTTCGGGAGCGTTAGTTTTTCATATAGAAATTTGGGTGCCTTCTCCGTCATGAGACGAAAAAGGAATATACAATTTCTAGCTTTAAGATATTTAAAAATTTTGCAGCCAAGTAGGAGCGTTCCTCAAGCGGAAATATGCTCATATTTTGCTAGCCCAAACACATAGCGCGTGATCTGGTTAAATACTACATCTATTTTGTGCCCTTATTCTGAGAAGACATTCGTATATTGTATGGCCCGTAGTCATAGTCAAAATTAAGTCGACTTTAAAGTTAGTTGCAGCTTTTTGACATAATTTTCAATGGGATATCTGTCAAAAAAGCTGCAACTAACTTTAAAGTCTACTTTATTTTGACTATGACTACGGGCCAATGTATTTGCTTTTCAAACGAGATTTATTCTACCAATTTTGGTAATAATTTACCGGAGTGGCAGCCCTGCTTGCAATTAAAATACCCTTCCGAACACTTTCTTCCCTCTATTCTGATTTTTCCACCCTGTATTTTTTTGTTTACAAATTTGGCGGCAAAACATGAACAAATCAGCTGCGTATCATAGCGAAAAGTAAATAATTGAAACAGCAATGGAGCCTTGTGTTATTGAATTTATTGGGGAGAAGTCCACCATTGGCATTGTACCAAACTTTTCATTCGATCCTTTGCATTTGATATCGGGCAGTGTTGGACCATTCCGCGCCGGTCTCCCAGTCCATGTGCCGCTTTGGCTTGGTATACATCTACGTAAACAACAGAAGTGCCGCATTGTGCCACCCGAATGGATGGACATGGAGCTGTTGGAAGAAATCAAGGAGGCAGAGAAAAAATCAAAGTAAGAATTAGATAACTAATGTCCAAGTGGAATGTTCATATACCACTTTCTTAGGTTCTTCACAAAAATGCCCAGCGAACATTACATGGTCGAAGCGCAACTGATCATGAGTACTGCACCTGACGATGTGCCGCAATGTGAAGAGCTACGAACGATTATCAAAGATATATTTGATATACGTGAATCTAAATTGCGCACTTCAATTGACGCATTCATCAAGGGTGAAGGCACATATGCAAAGTTGGATAATTTAACACTTTTGGAAATTCACACTGTAAGGCCAATTCTCCCGCATTCTTTGGATCATATTGCTCGTTATCAGCGGACGGCGATGGCTACGCAACGGGATACTTCTTCATTAGGTTTGAGTAATTCAATGAATACGAGTCATTTCTCACAATAAATAAAGAAAAAATATACTCATCTGCGTTTTCTACATGATAAAAACATGGTTTTCTACAAATACCTTTTTGGACATTTTGCTCAGTATTTTTGGCATGCAATCATTTGCCATGGCTTACCATGGTTTTCTACAAATACCACTTTGGACATTTTGCTCAGTATTTTTGGCATGCAATCATTTGCTTTGATTTTTCACTACATTAACGAATTTTGTGGTCTGGCATCATTTTTCAGTAGACAATCAGCTGTTTGACTCATCTTTGATGACGTTTCGTGTTGATGCAATTTTTCCCTGTTTCATTGGGATTCGGTTTTTACGAAAATTGAACAAATTTTTAAAACCATCCGGAAATTGGCCATTTAAAAGGTGCGTTCATAAGTCAAAATATTAAGAAACGGACATACATATACCACAAAAAGGCAAATACAGGAACAACCTGGAATTGATTTGCCTCTTGTGGACTACCAAGATCCTGTCGTTCAACTAAAAAAAAAAAACATAAAAAATGAATGAAACTGAGTTGGAAGGGAATGTTGATGATGGCAATGCAATAAGGCCAGTTGGAACCAATAGAATTCATTTTACAAAAGACGTGAAAAATGCAATCGATGAGGTACATATGCTTAGAAAGTGCGACTCGCAACCTAATTTACAATTGAGACTCTGCTTTCTCTACAGGTATTAAAAACTGAGGATCCCATGGACTCGCCGGATTTCAACACAGTCGATTACATAAATCAGCTCTTTCCGAATGAACAATCCTTGGTGAGCATTGATGAGACCATACAGCGTATGCAGTGCGAAGTGTCACTTATTGATGATAATATACGCGCCGTCGTACGTGGCCAAACGAATACCGGCCAAGATGGACAAATGGCATTGACCGAGGCGCAAAAAGTAATATCTACATTGTATGCCCATATTATAGATGTAAAAACGCGGGCTGAGAAAACTGAGGAAATGGTTAAGGAGATTACACGCGACATCAAGCAATTGGATTGTGCAAAACGAAACCTTACTTCGGCTATAACCACGTTAAATCACCTGCATATGTTGGTTGGTGGAATCGAAAGCTTAAATAAGTTAATTGAAAAACGGTTGTATGGGGAGATACTTAATCCCTTGCAAGCAATTACTGAAGTAAATCAGCATTTCAAGCAGTATTCTGATATCGAAGAAATCAAGGTAAGGTAATAAGGTTAAGGATGGGCGAAAACTAAGTAAAAAAATGTTTCTTACCAATTGTGGTTTTTAGAATCTCTCCCAAAATGTCGATAAAATTCAAGTTACTCTGGCTAAACAAATCACGGACGATTTCAAAGAGGCATTTTCTACAAAGTCAAGTACAGCAACAAGTGCTGGAAACAAACACCGTTTGGGATTAAATCAACTGGCAGACGCCTGTAAAGTGATTTCCGTGTTGGATCCGAAAGTCAAAAAAGATTTGTTGAAATGGTTTATTGGTACGAAAATGTTATACATACATATGTCCGTATGTATGTATAGACTGTAAATTCAATTGATTTTTTTTGTATTCCACAGCTCAACAGCTAGAGGAATATGTGCAACTCTTTCACGAAAACCAAGATATCGCTTGGTTGGACAAAATCGACAAGCGCTATGCATGGTTGAAGCGACACCTACTAGACTTTGAGGATAAATTCGGTGCAGTGTTTCCACTTGATTGGGAAGTATCTGAGCGCATTACCGTCGAATTCTGTCGCCTCACACGCGAGCAACTCTCTCATATCATGGCAAAACGCAGCAATGAAATAGATGTGCGCCTTCTTCTCTTTGCCATTAATAAAACTCAAGCTTTTGAGCAACTTCTTTCGAAACGCTTCACCGGCGTAACTTTGGGCGCTGAAAAGCTTCTGGCGCCGTCAGCTCTTAAGTTACTACCAGAAAGTGGTGTTATCGATCCAAATGCGCCACCGACAATTGGCTTATTTCACGATCAAATCGGCAGTTGCTTCAAAGCACATCTGGGTATTTACATTAAGAGTATCGATCGTAATTTGTCAGAGTTGATGGAAAAGTTTGTTGAGATGGCTAAAGAGCCATTAAAAGTGTCAGAATCGAGAACCACTGTGTACCCAAGGTGCATGATTATAGACAGTAGTGCGATAGATTTTTTTTGTTAAATTTTTTCTCCCACAGTTCAGCGGACTTATTTGTATTCTACAAAAAGTGCATGGTGCAATGTAATCAGCTTAGCAATGAACAACCTATGTATGAGTTAGCGCTGGTCTTCAAAAAATATCTACGTGAATACGCAAGCAAAGTTTTAGAATTCAGCACGCCGAAATTGATGACGACTACTGCCTCAATTGGTGAGATTTTTCGACGCATTCTTTTATTGCCAATTCATTTTTATATATGTTCCTTACCATTTTCGATGTTCTCTTCCCAGGCAAAAGCATGTCTTTACTTACGCGTGATATGCAGAATCTCTCCACGGCAGCCGGCCAAGTATTCCATAACTTTTTGAAAGAAGGTGATACACAACGTTTCCCGCGCGAAGATTTAATCCAAATTTGTTGTGTCCTAACCACCGCCGAATACTGTTTGGAAACTGTACAACAGTTAGAAGATAAACTAAAGGAGAAAGTATCTGCTGCCTTTGTTAACAAGATTGATATGTCTGAAGAGAAGGATGTCTTTCATCGGTAAGTTTTTGAGTTTTTTTACTCCTTTAAGTAATTAATTAATTTCAATCACTCTTCCCAGCATCATCTCCAACTGCATACAATTACTAGTGCAAGATTTAGAAGCAGGCTGTGAGCCATCACTACAGTCCATGTCCAAGGTGCAGTGGCAAAGTATTAGCAATGTCGGCGTCAAAGCGGCTTCATCAACAGCATGTGCGCGAATTTCAAGCAGACTGTGCCCGTTATACGGGACAATTTAGCCACATCACGCAAATATTTTACACAATTCTGCCATAAATTTGTCAATGCATTTATTCCGAAATTCATTAGTGTCCTCTACAAATGTAAGTTGACGCATTCCGATGGATCTAACAATGTTCTGGGTTGTGAGCAACTTTTGCTCGATACACATAGTCTAAAAACGGCATTACTCGACTTACCTTCAATTGGTTCGAGTGTGAATCGCAAGGCACCCACTAGCTATACTAAAGTAGTCGTCAAAGATATGACACGTGCCGAAATGATTATTAAAGTAGTAATGACGCCGGTGCAACCGCCAGCACACTTTACACAGCAAGTGCTTAAACTTCTGCCAGACATCACAATTGCAGAGTATCAGAAAATTTTAGATATGAAAGCCGTAAAGCGTGTGGATCAATTGCAATTGATTGACTTATTCAAACACACTGCCTCTCATGTGGCTGTGGTAGGCAGTGACTCGCCGGAGTTAGCAGCAACAAATGTCGAAAGCGGAGCTGCACCCGCGCAAGGTGACTTGCAGTCGAATGAAGATCAGAATACTACTACGGCGGCGTCAAAGGACACGACTGACAGCGGTGATGCGCCGTATACAGCTGCTGCAACATCTACGCCAAAACGTGCATTTATTTTTAGCGTTGGTAGCTTTACTGGTGGCGCAGAAAAAAATGCAGATGGCACTTCAAATAGTGGTGGCGATCGTGGGCGCATACGCAAGCTAGAGAGCTTGCTGAAGAAGCGTTTGCCGTAAGCAGGTGGCGCGCGTGATGCGGTCAATCCGAGTAGTGATGATTGCATGTGGTGTGCGGCTTAGATATAAATTTTTCTTGTTTGTTTCACTTATATGTTTGTGGTGAGTATTACATTCCATTTTACTTTCTGTTTTGATGTGTTCTTGAAAGTTTTTTTGATTGACGAATTCTGCAGCATTGCAGATAAGTTATAAGTTGGCCCTAGAAAAACAGAACTATTATCATAAAATAATGTTGTAATGAGTTTTTTTCAAAGCGGGATCATGAAGATAATTTTCATTTATAAATAAAAAAAAATATACAAATAAAATGTGCTCTTTTGAGTTTTAGCGACCAATATCGTCATTGCGAATTTTAAAATATGTAGCTGAAATAAAAGTGGTCGCCCCTCGGTAGGCAATGGCAAACCTCCGAGTGTATTCCTGCCATGAAAACAGCTTCTCATAAAAATACAATCGCCGTTCGGAGTCGGCGTAAAACTGTAGGTCCCTCCGCTTTGTGTGACAACATCAAGGCGCACGCCACAAATCGGAGGAGAAGCTCGGCCAAACACTAACATATACGTAAGCACCAATCTATTATTATTATTATTAACTGAAATAAAATAACAAAGATATCAATCTTTCTTTTGGTCACGTTTATTTAACATTAAAAATTTCAATAGATTTTCAAGTTTACATTTTAATTTAATCAATTTAATCGTTGAACTGTGGGTATGGTTTCTTTTTTGATTTTCATTCTACTAAAAATAAACTACGTATTACTGGCTAAACCTGCTCGCGACAATCATACACTCACATTTGTTTTTATTTAATCATCCAACCCTACTATGCCGGTTTGTTTTTGCTGGGCAAATTTGTTTTTAATGTATGGTTCAACTTTTAATGCGGAAATTGCCTTGCACAAATACATATGCATGTTTATTTCAAAACCCATGGATAGTTAAATATACTAATTAAATATAAAATATTACATATTTATGGTCAGTCGTTAAAAGTTG